GAACGGGGCTGAGCCACAGCTCGCACACACGGGGTTTGGCCGAACCCGCCGGCGGCCCCGGAGCGCCCGGAGCGAGCACTCACCGGCAGAACCCGCCCCGCTGGACTCCTGGTCCCCGCTGGCGCCCATCTCCTGGTCCCCGCTGCCCTCAGCACTGCCCGACTCCCCGTAGGCAGGCTGGGGGGTGGCCAGGACCACCGGGGCGGTGGAGAGAGGCCGCACCGTGGTCTTGTGCCCGCCGTGGGTGGCCCAGGGCGTGGTGGCCGGCCTGGCCGTCGTGACGCGCCTCGTCGTGGGGCGACCCCGTTCCGTGGGCTTGGCTTCCAGCGGCGGGGAGCTGGTGGCCACCTCGGTGGGCTGCGGAGCCTGGGTGGTGAGGGGCAGGGGCGGGGGAAGGACGAGCCGGTCCAAGGGCAGCGTGGGCAGCGGCGTGGGAGGCGAGGGGTGGCTCGTATGGGTGATGGACTCTGGAAGGAGCAGCAAACAGGGCAGGTAAGGGGGGAGGCACCTTCCAGTGGCATTGGGAAGCAAGTTGCAGACCCGTGACACTGGTTGGGACCCCTCAGGGCACCTGAAATGTCAGGAAATGCCCTGGCACTGCAGAGGAAAGCAGCCAGACCTCAGGTCAAAGGGCTGGCACTGCCCCAGCCCCTCAGAGCAGCAGGCACTCACCGTGGCACTGCCCCATGTGCTTCACCGTGATGACCTGGCCCTGCCTGCAGGCGATGGTCCTCAGCTGGCACTGGTCCCCGTAGGTGACACCGTCAGAGCCACACACCTGGGGGGTAGAGGGGACACATGAGCAGAGAGGACACTTGGGAGCTGTTCCTCCTCCGAGCAAAAGAAACTCGTCTCTAAATGCTGGGAGAATTCTGAGGCAGAGGGGACACGTGAGCTGCACCCCCTGTCCTTCTCCAGGCAAAATAAACCGGGCTCTAAAGGCTGGAAGGACTTTGAAGGAGTCCCTCCGAGGCACAGAGGGGATGGTCTGCACAGAGGGACCCGAGGTGGGCTGTGGGAGGCCAGAAGCAGAGCAAGCTCAGAGTTATGAGGCGAGGGACAGAGCATCCAGCTCTGCTGGGAGACATCTACGACTTGCACATCCCCTTCCCCACGCACCAAGGCAGCGACCAAACCTGCCCTCCCGCTTCTTGTGGGGGGAAGAGACCTGAGACCCCCGCGCTGCCTGACGCAGATGAACCACCACAGGTCCCTGCTCACCCCCCTGAACCCCCCGGGCTGCCTGTCCCCCAAACCTTGGTCATGTTGGCCTCTGAGCACAGCGGGGACGGGCACTCGCAGTGGGCAAAGCCGTTGACCTCCACACAGGAGGCCCCGAACTCGCAGCTCATCTCCTCGCAGGATTTTGGGGCCGAGGGGTCTGGTGGGGTAGGAAGAAGAGGTGATCAGAGCACACAGAAAAGCAAAATCCCTCCCCTCCTGGTGCATCTCAGCTCTCCCAAGGACCCGTTTCTTGGTGCCCCTCACCTTTCTCGCAGCCAGTCATGCCCAGTTTGCTGCCGTTGGGGCACTGGTTGCACTTCATGCCAGTGATGCCAGTCTTGCAGGAGCACAGCCCCGTCATCTGCTCGCAGTCATCCCGCACCGACCCCACGGGGTCGCAGTTACAGGCTGGGAGAGAAAGGGAAAACCACATTGTTGTGCTGGGGGGTTCATGGAGCCAACTGCAGACTCACCCGGGTCCCCCAGCATGGGGCACGTCACCCAGCTCTGCAGGACAGCTGCTGGAGGTGACTTAAAACAGGACAAACAGTCACTGCGTGGCTTGTAATAGGACAAACAGCTGCTGGAGGTGACTTACAGTGGGACAAACAGTCATTGCGTGGCTTGTAAGAGGACAAACAGCTGCTGGAGAACTTACAATGGGACAGACAACTGCTGAAGGTGACTACAAGGGGACAAACAGTCACTGGATGATGTACAATGGGATCAACAGCCACTGGAGGTGACTTACAACGGGACCAACAGCCAGTGGGGGACTTGCAATGGGACAAACAG